GGCGGAAAGAAAGTTGTGGATAAAAGTGCAACAGTGTGCAAGCATTGTGCAACACGTTTTGTTTATGCTAACAGCAACATGACCAATATGTCATGCTAACCCCGAAATCCCACAAACTCCGTCAGCACTGCGCCCCGCGGCGCTCCAGACCGGGTGCTCAAAGCAAAGCCTACAGCCCCCCACTGTGGCTCCTGTCCGTTCCCCTCTGAGTCCCTTGGAGATGGTAGAGGGCATGCACGAGATGATTAAATTCAAAGCAGCAAAACATACGGAAATGATCCGGGGTTTCCGCGGATCATTTAAAATAATTACAATCCATTATTTTTTGGGGCATTTTTTCATTAATTTCATAGATTTTTATGGGATTTCGGTGTAACAATCAACATATACCGAATCGAACCGAACCGAAAACCATGACCACGAAACCGTGAATCGAACCGAACCTTGGATTTTGTGAACCGTTCCACCCCTAATATATATATATTAAAAAAAACTGTTTTCTCACCCCTCGTGGGGTGGTATGTGTCATCCTCAAGCTCGGGTCCTCTACCAGAGGCCTGGGAGTTTGATGGTTCTGCGCAGTATCTTAGCTGTTCCTAGGACTGCGCTCTTCTGGACAGAGACCTCTAATGTTTTACCTGGAATCTGATGTAGCCACTCTCCCAGTTTGGGGGTCACAGCCCCCAGTGCTCCAATTACCACTGGCACCACTGCTGTTCTTACTTTCCACATCTTTTCTTGCTCCTCTTTCAGCCCTTGGTATTTCTTAAGTTCTTTATTCTTGGTGTTGCTGTCGTTTGGGATTGCCACATCTATCACTACTGCCTTCTACTGTCTGGTTATATATATATATATATATATGTTACAGCTACTTATTTTGTGGTACATTCACATTGATTTATTTCATAAATGTTGTGGCCCTCCATATAATTCAGGGATCACATCACAATGATTGTGAAAGCTGTCTAGCGACTATGGGTATGACAGATGTGAATAAAAATATGTGAGGGTGTTTTAATGCAAGTCAGTAAACGTTCATTCATTTAAGATTGATAAATTTGTCCTCAACTTATGGTTATATGTGACATCAGTTGTTTCAAGTGTTAGAATACAATGTTGGATGTACACTGGAAAAACGATCTAGAAATAAGTAAAAAATTTCTTAAATTAAGTGTATTTAATCTTAATTTGAGCTGGTAAGTGAGATAGTTTGCCAATGGAATGAGTATTTTTAATTTTAAAATAAGATAATTAGATAAAATGCACTTGAAATAAGACAACACGATTGCGTTTTCTTATTTTAAATGTAAATTGTCTTGTTCCATTGGCAAAATGTCTCTCTTACCTCCTTAATCCAAGAACAAATGCACTTATTTTAAGAAACAATTACTTACCTAGATTTAAATTTTTTTCCAGTGTAGAAGTTATGAATATAAGTTACAACTTTGCAAAATCCAAGATGGAATCTACAACACGAGATGAAGCCATTGTCTTACTCAACAGTTGGTGCCGCTAATGCACCTGAAGGTTGTTCACCAACCGTCTCTTTATGTAATGCTTGTGCGCCCTCCTGTTTAATGCTTCCCTGGGCAAATGCCCATACACCTCACATCAAAGATTATGCAGTATATAACAGGTTCTTTTCCTATAGTGCCTTATAACATTAGTTGTGAATTGTTGCTGACTTGAATTTAAGCTGATCTATATTAGTATCTTTAAATATTTGAGCTTCCAAGTGTTAAAAATGTAAAACCACATTGAGACCTGTGCACTCAATCCCTCCATCTCCTTCTGGAAGGTGTGGAGGTAATGGAGAACGGAGAGATGAAATTTCATGGATAATTCGCTGCGAGTGAAGGAATATTACGGCAGCAGATCATTTTTACGCCCGATTCCAACGTGCGAATCAGGCGGCCGCTCCTTGTCTCTCTGGATGCCAAATGGGAGATAAATGAAAGCCATTGATCCATGGCTGTGATGTAAACGGCGTAATGTTCTCCCTATAAAGCCCCCCTCTTCCTCCCTTTTTAAGCATCTTGACGTCCACGTCGCCGGTAATTGAATTTGAACGAGCCTTTAGGTGAATTACAACAGCAATATCATCTCTGTCGACGCGCGCGTTTGCAAAACAAGAAAAAAAGTTGGATTAATAAAAGGATCACAATTATAACTGGAAATCCCAAATTTGATCAAGGAAAACTTTTAGTAGCTTGAAAAAGGTTGAACTGTTTATCAGCAGGCACAGAGTTTCTAAATGTATATTTGTGCCTTTATTTTTCCCCAATTTTTGTCACATTTGATGTATTTTTAATTGGATTAAAAGTGGAATTTGATACCATAGAGCTAAAAGAGCAGGGGTGTGACCGGTTTACACAACCTAGACTACGTCCAACGATGCTTCTTTAAATGTAGGGAATAATGATTTGTAATCATTTAATCCCAAATTAGCAAAAGTCTTGGATAAAGAGCCTGCCTTTAGTTATAATCTGTTATTTCTTTAAGCCTGTAGTTTCACTGGACGATTCAAACACATTAATTTACTTTGATCTAATCAAGTTTCTGATTATTTTAAAATAAAATCTTTTTAGCAGTAGAACAATGAAAAATCATTTGCAGTACATTTGAATACACAATTTAAGAATGACAACCACCACCTTTGAAGTCTAATGAAATTAATTTTTCAACTCTTCTTTTACAAATACATATTAAAACGTATCAATATTCCTGCAATTTATTTTGGGTGAGACAATGTCGCAACATTTGTCATAATGCTGGCTTTACAACTTTAAAGATGAAGCAAACTACTGTCCATAATGCGCGTAATTTTGCACTGACCTTTTTTGCAGATTAATGTCTAGTTTTTTTTTTCCCAAAAGGGAAACTGCTGATGTGTTGTTATTTATTTATCTTTTTAAGTGCAGCTGCAAGTTTGTTTTATCACTGCTTTTATTTATTACTGCTTTACAAAAATGCTGTATATACCTGCTGGTCCAGGTTAAAGGAGCTTAGTCATGTTATTGGCCTACACAGTTAAGATTAGCCAACATTTGATACTGCTAAAATAGGCTTAGAAACAATAACAGTTAGATGGTCCTTTCTTAAGCCTAAATGGAATTTCTGCACTGGGTGCAATTATATATAAAAAAAACGTGGAGCCATCTATATGCATTACTGCAGAATTCATCTGTTTATCTATACAGTGATTCATATTTAGACTGTATAAACTACAAACAGCATTTCTATGAGGGGTATCAGTATAAATAGGCTAATCTGAATGACTCGGCTTTAGCCACCGCCTCAGTAAACAACAAGATTCATACTGTATTCCCAATGCAGTTCCAGTCTTATAACTCAAAGACTTAAATATTATTTGCATTTTTCACACTCGATCTTGGAATTTTCTTCATTATTTCCCCATTTCACTGGGAGATGCTAACTTGGTAAGCTGCGGTAGACCATCTCCTTTGTTTACTGTTTGTTTAGCTGTTCCGTTAGGCCTCCAAAACCATTTCTTTTTCAAATTCTCCTCATGAGGGCTTTCATGTCATGGACTGTAACAGTAGGAAAACCATGTGTCCGGCAAGTAACTTATGCATGAAATAACTCCTCCCCATACTAAAACAGGGTTGAATGGAGACTTACTCATCAAAGATGCGCTTGTTCTATTAAAACTCAAACTTCATTTGAATTAAGCTTTAGATTATCATCTGAGACAATGGCAATCCACTACTGGCCCAGTCTGTCATTTTCTTGTATGTTTTTTTCCTCACTTCAAAGCGATGCTACTGAAAAACCAAAAGCTAACAATAAAGACTACAAAAAATTAAAACAATTTTTCTAAAAATAAGTGTATTTTCCCATTGTTTTGAGCAGGCAAGACACACAATTTCCAGTGACTAATATTTTGCAGAAATTTTTTGCCATAAAAATTTAGTTTAGTTCAGTTCTTGCGAGTCTTCTTTAACAAATGACTTTGGCTAATTGATGATGTCAAGTTTGATATAATGTCCACATTTAGAAAATAAATAATTCTAAAAGCCAGCATATGATTTATTGAAAAGTTTGGTCACTTTTTGGGCACACGCTGACAGCTATTATGCTAGATTTCCTAATAATACCGAAAAAGAGACAAATTCTGTGAAATATGTTCAACGGAGGCCGAATTGGGTGGAAACCAGCCCAGTCTGGAAAAACTCATCTCAACAGCTCCTTTAGAGTTATAATATGCTTTTGGGCTACTTCCTTAAAATCCTTAGTCATAGTGGACACATCATATGCAAGTAGCTCATTCTGTTTGATGCAATATTTTTCTAAATCATTATCTTGTTCTGCTGGAGTATTATTTGTTATATTTTGTCATTTTATTTTTAATTTGTTCATTTCAGTCGCAATCTCACTTTCTGGTAGTTATGCGGAACTGCCAGCAGATGGCGCCACATCTACTCAATGCTGAAATTCTCTTAAGGCTCAAAAAGAATCTAAACACTATTAGGAAGTATTTATAAACTTGCTCAAACACGATGGCTTAACAGGATGACTAAATGGCTTTTGTTTTTATACTTTTTGTACAGGCATAGAGGTGATAATGAATCTCTAGATGAAACTTCTTCTCTACCATATAAGCCAATTTAGGTGGATTTACATGTAATTACTCTCTCCATTTACAATCCTTTATGAAATATTCCAGCTTTGAGGTACTGCTTTAAACTTCTTAACACCTTTTTGTGAAGTGGCTTGGATTTTACAACACTCTCCTAATAAATTTGCTACCTTTTGAAGGAAATAAGTAGCACAAGACTTCATTTAGGTTAACCAATTTAAAAACAAAACCAAGAAAAATAAAAACTGAAGTTAGAGGTTTTTACCGAACATGGTGAAAAATGCAAAGCACCACAGGTAATGTGAATCATAAGATATAATGTTGAAAAGTAAAAGAAAACAAAGTTCAGACTCACAAAGCAGTCGGTGTCCTTGGGGCCAGAGCAGCCGCCGGCGCACTCTCGATGGCAGCAGTCACTGACGTAAGGCCCGAAGCATCGACCGTCACACTGCTCTGCACACACCGTTTTTGTCACTGCCCAAGAAATAAAAAGACCGAATTTTAAAAGGTCTGACACACAAAAACACACAGACATACACACCCCTAAAAGAGACAATACCACCACCCTCAACCTTCATCTCAAGTCATAGCTGCTCCCGACTGTTATGTGACAAATGAAATTAAAGGCTTCTGCTTCTTAAAGGTCAAGACAAGTGGATTTGTGAGGATATACTTACAGACTCTCTGACGTAAAAAAAATATAAAAAACAAATATGAAGCACCCTGTGTTTCGCTTAACACCTGCCATACCTGCCATAGAGTTGTCCTTGAGCAAGACAATCCTCCAGCTCTAGTTTAGTGGCAGGCAGCTGTAAATTGTGTTTGGCAGGTATAAATTAGAGGTGGCATGTTGGTGCTCAAGGAAAAGGGGCAGTTTTTTTTGCAAGAAAGATAAAAATACCAGGAAATACTTTATCTTGTGCCATCACAGTTCTAAGGATTCTGCTTTCTGTTAAACAGGTGATTTCACCAAACCTTGTATTTCAAAATTAACCATTTGTGTGAACAAAATAAGAAAAGAAAACAATCCAAAACTGCTGAAAAATTGTTTTTTTTTTTCTTTTTAAGAAGAAAATAGCTAGAACATCTTATCCAATACTTAACAGCTAATATAACCCTTCAAACTGGCTTCAAGCTAAGAGATTTTTGGAGTTTCCTTCACATTCACCCTGTTAAAAGTCAGCTTACTAAAGATTTACGCTTAATACGTCAAATTACGTCATTTTAGCTTGTGCGCACACGGGCAGAATTTTTGTAACTACAAGGACAGCTCCAAGTAGTGGACAAGTGACAGTTTCTACTGGCAAGGGTTTGCTAATATAGATAAATATCACCACTAGGTTGTGTAAAAGCTAGAGAAATGTGTGTCTGTACTTTTAATTTTCTGCACGGAACATGTGCAGCTCCACACTGACAAACAA